CTTTTGTCCCTCTGTGGGGGGTTACTCCCACTAGGTTTATATCTGGGACTCTCCACCATTTGACCTTAGAACTGAAGAAGCTTCTCTGATGAGAGGTGAAACGTCTTCAAGTAACTTAAAGAAGTCCAGACGCTTTTCTTTGCAAGCTGCTTTGACTACGATGACCTGGATGACTGAGAATCTTCACAGACATACTTAACTTCTATGTTTGTAACCAGGTTAAAACTGTCATTCATTAAATTGTTTAAATATGTTGAAATATTAAAAATGTTAAAATACATGTTAATATGTAAATGGTTAAATAATGCCTGATAATGGTTAAAGTATTTAGAAAAGTCTTCAAATTCCTTTTAAATGAAGCACAATGTGTTAAATATGTTTAAATGAGCATTTGCATTAAATACGGTCATTTTTACAAGTATCCTGTTTTATCATGAAGAGCTAATGATTGTATGACAAAGTGAGCATGGTTGTGATCGGTAGCTGGGCTGAGAGAAGCTGCAATGGAAAGTATGTGAAGTTTGTGCAAATTTGTGCGGACTATCTGCTCACCAGTCTTTGTCAAAAAACTCCTTTTGCATACTGCCTGTGAGCCGGGGACATTTTTTCTCGAAATCCACTGTGCATGTTTACTTTTGTTTAAGCGTCAAGAGCCTGAGCTGTTTTGGAGATGTCCATTGATCACTTTGCATTCCTTCACACATAACTGTTTCCCATGTTTCCAAAGGGTGGAGAACATGTTTTCTGTACCAGTTATTTTCCTGTAGGTTTTTGGCTCAACAGCTAGTTTGAACTGGAAATACATTTCACCTTTGTATGTGTCTCTAGTTATCAAAAGATGTCTGCACTGACCACATTTGGGCTACAAATAGCCCACACTAGTAATTCAGTAGATGTTTAAAAAGAGACGTTACTTGGTGTTACAAAACAACTCTTTCAGTGGGCCAAATTGGACGTTCGAAAGTGACATATTAAAGATGTCACTACACTCATTTTATGTAGTGGGGATGCTATGGCCGTGTATCACCTTCCAAAGTCATAATGATAAAACCATCAAAACAAATATCCATTATCACTATTATCATTTTGAACTGTTGCAGGGAGCCACCATCTTTCCTAAACTTGACCTAAAAAATGCTTACCACTTTGCTTGCATTGAGGAGAGAGATGATTACAGAACTGAGACGTTTTGAAAGTCATATCATGCCATTTGGTCTCAGTAATGCTCCCGCTGTTTATCAGGTCCTTGTTAATAATGTACAATTCATGACTACCTGAATTGTTGTGTTTTTGTTTGTCTGGATGATCTCCTCATTTTTTCCAGCAAACTGTCTGAACATGAACCTCAAATCCATCAAGTGTTGCAGTGTTTGCTGGAAAATAAGCTTTATGTCAACGATGAGAATTGCAAATTCCGTGTTACAGTTTCTTTCCATTGTTGTGAAAGAGCACATCAAAGCTGACCCTGCAGACTTTCAAGCTGTTTTGGACTGACCCATTCTACAACTTGTAAACATCTCCTGGGGTTTGACACTGGTTTACCTCAAACCTGCTCATTCTGTTGCCCTCTCCAAATTCCCTTCTGCCCCAGAAACAGCTCAGCTCTTAGTGGACCATGTCTTCTGTCTTCATGTGATGCCTCTGGACATTGCCTCCAACTGTGGGCCATGGTTTACATCATGAGTTTGGAAGGAGTTCTGCTCTATTCTAGGTGCCCAGGCAAGCCTCTCTTCTGGTTCTCACCCACAGACTAACCGATAAATCAAAAGGCCAAATCAGGAGTTGGAAGCAGCTCTCAGTCGTGTTGCTTCTTTAAACCAGTCCACCTAGAGCACATAACATACCTGGTAGAATACGTCCATAACTCCATAATATCCCCGGCAACTGGTCTCTCATTTGAGGCATCCCTTGGTTGTCAGCCACCACTGTTTACCACCACAGAACATGAGGTTTTGTTCTGTCTGTTCAACATCATTTTCGTCATTATCACAGCAACCCACGCTGCACTGTTATGGACGAAGGAGCAAAACAAACAACTGGTGGACTGTTGTTGCACTCCTGATCCAAACTACCTGCCCAGTCAAAAGGTTTGGCTTTCTACTAAGCACACATCTCTTAAGACCGACTCCAAGAAACTCACTCCTGGTTACTCTGATTCTTTTGAAAGAGAAGCTCAAAAGGATCAATGTCTACTTGTTTAAGGTTACCTCTCAACATGAAGATATAATATAATCCATGTATATCAACTAAAACCCAGTTTCTCCAGTCTCAAGGCAAGAAACCAACCAATTTAAATAAACTACCAATTTTGGTTAAAGGGTTAAATGGTTAAATATTCATCCAGAATTATATCAGAAGCTTGCTGGCTCTCACAAACGTCTGGTCAAGGTACGACTTGCTAAATGAAATTAAATCAAATATTGGGGGAGGTATGTGTATATAATTTTGACTGTGCGGATTAGAGAAAATAAAAAATAAATTCAAACTTGTGCACCCAGTTCTTGTTTGTCAACGTTAAACATTCCATCCCATAAAAAGAACAGTTCAATAAAATCATTAAAAGCATCAGAGTTCATGCCCATGATGAGTTTATGTGAACATCTGACCACAACTACGTGTGTCAGAATTGACAGCACAAATCAGTCAGTCTTGACAGGAGAAGGGAAAGAATGTGTGAAGATTTACCTCATCAAAGTGTCGGAGGTAATATGCAACAATGTAAGACAGAAGACTTTTCATGCCGTCCTGCATGCGGAAAGAACACACATAAATTTAGAGGAGTGAAGATGGCAATCAAACAGCATCATTATACAATTTTCCATTAATGCACTGGTCATAACTACATGGCTATAGAAAGAGTGAGCAGGAAAAAAAGACACAACAGAAACAGAAATATACCAATATACCAAGACCAAGAAATATACTAAGTCTGTCCTAAAAGTCTGCTGAAGTTCTCATTATCATGATTAACTCCTGTCAATATTTTTATTGCTTTTTTTTGACACCATTTCAATTGTCTTTCCATACTCTAAGGATCATTCTTGTGACCAAAATTGCCCTCACTTTCATTGCCACAAAACTGTATTTGGATGCAGTGGGAAAGACTGATTGGTCTCTAAGTAAACATAACCTTGGTGATATTGTTATTTCAAACATAACAATTTACCTATCTCAATGTAGAGCTTTTTTCCCTGAAAAAGCTAAATCTGCTTACATTCTTGAATAGCATTTGTATATGTTCCTGTACCTGATTTCCAACATAGGTCATTGGTTGTTACACTGCGCCTATAAAATTTAGAAGGGGTAAAATAAATCCTATGTATTAATTTAAATTATACTAATTTTTGCTGGGCTTTTTGTGAATTTATCAGGATTTGAGAGTATTCTACTCCTGTTTTATATCAAAGCCTAAGTCCGTTTGTTAAATGATCCTCAGGTTATTAAAGTAATTATTTGCTAAGTATTTTATAAAACACAGCTGCCTTATACTTCATGTAAGAAAGATCCAGAAAGTCCCTCACTGGGGACTTTAAATTGGCTTTTAACATTTTAATCTCAAATATCTACAAATATCAGTTGTAGATATTTCAAAAACGTCACGACTCAAAGGTCCAATTTTATGCTTGCCCCTCTTTCAAGCTATTGTATCCAATACAACCCTCATCTGTACAACAGGACTGTTAAAGAAAAAATCTTCTCTATTAGTAACTGTGTCATGTAAGAGAACACCCCACAATTGAAACAGGCTTACTAATTCCTTTTCAATTTTGATCCAGCTTAATTTAGAATAATATCCTCTACCATGTTTAGACCCATTCCTCTTGACCTGTGGGAGTATTTCTACAGGCAACATCACTGAGACATAGTTGAACTACCATTTTAATCACAGTAATTTTTTTCCACAAAATAAAATTCCATTTTTAATTAATAATCTAGATTTATTATTTATTTTAGTAGGTTTTGTAATTGAGGTACTAATTTTTCCAAACCCGGGTTTAAAATAATCCCTAAGTATTTCAAAGCTGAAGATAACCAGTTGAAACTTAATAGAGCAACATTTTTACAGGAGCATGACACTGATATAGGCATACATTTAGATTTGCGCCAGTTATTTTACAGTTAAGATCCTAAATGCATTCAATCGAAGGCAACAAAAGGATCCCAGTGCAGGATTTAGGAGATGAAATGTAAAGTCAAAGGGTATATTTATTAAAGAACTCCTCATCAAAGGTGTCAGCTGAGCTGAACAATTCAAGATTACACGGCTCAATGAATATTAACTTTTATTCAGTAAGTTGTAGTTTATTACCTCATAATGGACTACACACATAACATTAGAGTAAGCTTCTATTAAACTGCATTGCTGAATACTGTGAATATATTACATTTAAAAGGCATGGATGCAATCTACAGGACCAAGACTCTTTATTTTAGGATACAGGGACAAAATTATACTTTGTTTTCAGCATTCTGGTTACTTACACTGCTTTTTACATCTTTAAGTTTGGGCAGGATGTCAAGGCTGAAACCATCAGCTTGGCCTCTGGTTCGATTGCCACCATTCATGAAGTTACCAAAGGCCAGAATCAGACCTAGAATCTTCTTCACTGTTTCACTGTCCTGTATTACCTGTAAAACGAGATCAAACAGACAGAAAGAAGAAATCATGTGACTGTACTGATTATACATTAGGTAGAATTATTACTTTTCACAATTTTGAAAGCATTTATTCAACAAGAAACACTTTTCAGGCTTTTACGCTGCACTGCTTTTTTTATACGCGCTGCCTTGCACGCTGAAAGTTGTTCTGTTTAAGTTTCCTCATTTCTGACTTTATGCTAATAATGAAAACACCTTTTCATGAATGTTTATTATTCATTATCCTGAAACAAATGATTCATAACCAGATATAATAGCCCTGTTCTTAAACTATATAAATCTATGGGTATATACATGGACTTGGAGCATGTTTGTCCAAACTTCAAAGATTTGGACATATATGCATACATGGGTATGCAGTTATTGTGTTTTGCTCTTCACAGTTTGACTCACCTTGCATACCCTCTGCAGTGTGTCCAGTTTTCTTGTGATAGATGACATGCACTCACAAAAGCTGGACTGGAAAAGGATGCAGAAAACTCTACTGTTGAAATTTGGGATCAAGGTGAGCTGGTAGAGAAATCTTTAATGCAGAAGAAGCAGAAAGAGCATAGCATTAGGGGTAGTTTTTCGTGATCGATTTATCGATTTAAATTGATTCTGGCTTGAATAACGTGATATCGATTCATTAAAATCCTGAATCAATTTTTAAATATAAATTTATTTTGCCCGAAACTGCAAAATCTCAGGTTAAACCTTACAAAATTTCTACAACCACCAAACAGCTAAAACAGTATATAAGAGCAGGTACACAGATTCTGCACAAAGAGGTAAACACAAAACACGGACCCGAAGCATCCGAATCAGACAGCATGTACACGGACACGCCGTTGGGGCTGAAAGCCGACAGCTCACTGATTTTGAAGCGTCGGCGGGCGCTTTGTGTTTACGTCCTTTTTGTCCTAGATTCTGAAGCTGCAGGTTTTATCTCTCTCCAAACAATATTGACTTAACCAGCAGCCAAAGACAATCCAAACTACGCTTCACATTTCGCTTCACATAAACATCGTCACGAATTTCCTCTTACTTTTGCTGTTTTGCTTCCACCACGATAAAATCACAGGAATTTCCCATCTAAAAATCTCTGTTTTTTGCATTATCCGCTTACTTATTATCCACCAGCCGCTGTTTTTTTTTAACTTACTTCCGACAAGAAAGCCTCAATTCTGCTGTTCAATACTGAACAAATGTAAACAAATTATGCAAAATTGCAAAATGCTTAGCTGTGTCTCTAATCAATCCTCTGTAACTTTGCTCTGCTTCACTTCGTTTTTGACTGCACAATATTTTTAAGGTCATCTGCTATAAAAACCCAGACCAGGAAAGTCGCCTTCATGTTTTTCTGTGTTTTATCCTCAGTTACTTTGACACAAAGGCCTCTGCTGTGATGCTCACACCTTTGATAAAGTCTCACAAGTGTCAGCTTTCTTTTTATAGATATAAAAATATCGCTATGTACTGATAAGTGATCAGAATTATAATATTTCTGACTGTCTGAGGCAAAATTTCCCCGATTCAAATCAAATCGAATTGAATCGAACCGAATCGTGGATCGAATCGATTCGGGACCTTGTGAATCGGAATTGAATCGATTCTAGAAATCAGTGATGATACCCAGGCCTACATAGCATTTACAGTACCTATATAATTACTTGTAAACTTGGTCCAACCCTGCCCTTATATACTAACAAGTGAGAATATTTAATATTTAATTTGTCCAAGAATCTTGTGTTTGAGATGCGTATCAGTGTTTTAGTTTTGCAGGTAAAGGCAGAGGATTCAGTGCTGAACTTTGGAAGTCTTGTGTATCCTGCCCTGTTTCAGATTATCTGGCTGGCATTTAAGGATTCAGCAAATAATAACAATAATATCTATCAATTCAATTCAATTCCACACATTCTCTTTCACTTATCCTTAACCGGGTTGCGGGGGGCTGGAGCCTATCAGAGCTGTCACAGAGCGAGAGGTGGGGTGCAGGTCATCAGTCTATCACAGGGATAACACATAGAGACGGACAATCACTCACATTCACACCTATGGGCAATTTAGAATCACCAGTTCGCCAGTCCAGATTAATATACAGTATTACTCCTAACTACAGTTTTTAAAACTCTGCAACTTCCATTCTAACCAACATGGCATTGTCCCTGAGAGGCAAGGGACAGGACCCAAACAGGATCACAATAAAGATAAAGGCGAGAACTTTGCTAGACCCGCCCCTGCCCAGTTACCAGCCGTCAGCTACATAGAAAAGGATCCTGATGTTATTTGTCTCTCAGAAACAGTTCATAACTTCCCTCCAACTTATTCATGTCACCTAAAAGGT